GTCAAACCTTTTTATATCTATAGTTTAAAAATCAATTTACTTTTTTACCCTAAAATCATTAGTCCAAATACATGCATGGCAAAAACAAAATTAATACACTGAGGTAAATCTTCAAGAATGTAACAAGGTTCCAACTTTCTGATAGGTTGCCTCTCTCCTCCAAGACTTGATGGAAATTGTTTTGTCCTCTTTTTCACCCTTCTTTGCTAATCTCTTTTATGAATTCACTCATGACCCCTTCATCATTGCCTGCCTACATTTGCTTATTCACTTTCTTCTCTTTTTTTTCGTTCTTCTTCTCCCCTTTAAGTTTTGGTGGCAATCGTGGGTTGGATCCTATCAATTCCCTGTCTCGTTCATTTCTTTATAAAGGTTTTTTTCCCCATTATTTTAATAATTTTTTAAGAAAAATGAAATGATGAGATTTGATTTGCACGATTTGTATATTTGCATTCTTGAATATCTGCAAGAGATCCGGATCGGCACGCAACATATATACCCATTGTACTTCTTGAATTAGTTCTCTATTAAGATTGTTCAACTGCATGTTTTGTGTAGGTTAGAGTTAGTGTTGGAGCACATTTTGTGCTCATCAATCACCCTTCAAATAATCTTGATTGTCTAGATTCAGATTTAAATATTTTTTTTATTTTTTTGAATAAAAAATTATAAAATTTAATAAATCTATTAATTATCAATATGTATAATTCATATTTAATTAGAGTTCAAATTTAATATTATTTTTTTACAATTTTTATAAATTGATTATATACATTTACTTTGAAATGTTTAAATATGACAGTATAATAAATTAAAATTTTTGAATCTGAATAGTATAGGAGAAATTTATATAATTAATTTATAAAAATTGTAAAAAAATTAATATTAAATTTGGATCGATTTGATTAAATGTGAACAATACATATTGATATTAATAAATTTATTCAAAATTTTATATATAAATTTTTATTTTTAAAAAAATTAAAAAAAGTTCTTAAATTTGGACCTCAAAATTATTTCAGAGGCATGTGGTCATCACCTCTAATTAGCACGGAATAGAGCCGAGAATAAGAGTCGAGCCTGAAGGTCCTATTTTAATAAAGGTTTAGGCTTTAAAAATTAATTTTTTTAAAGTAATCGAGTTTGAGGATCTAGTCCTAATAAGTCCTGTGAAAAAGAATTTTGGCCCAAGCGACCCTTTAAGCCCTAATATATGGGGTTATCTTATATTTACACACACACACACAAACACACACACGTATGTATTTAATTAATAATGACACAATTTGATTAATATTTATTGTAGGTAATGAAGAAAAAGTTGAAGAGATAATTTACATTAAATCTCCACCTCCATCTTTAACAAGTGAATATACATATGAGGGATTTGATATTTTATTTTTAGATGATGATAAGGAGGATTTATATTTACATTGATAAAAATTTTAATCTTTATTTTAAATTTAAAATTTTAAATATTTTTTGAATTTTATGTGAGATTTTAATTTTTTTTATGTTGTATTTTAAAATATTATGTTTAAATTAAAATGCTGGATTTTTTTCAAAAAAAAAAAAAGCTTAAGGGCTTAGCCTTGAGTCCCATAAATAAACATTGGATCTTATAATTAAATTAAATTTTAGGTTGCCGGGCTCATAAGAGCTTGAGCCCTTAAGAACTAAACCCGCTCTAATTTTCACCTTTAATACTAAATGTGCTCTCATTTAGAGTTATATCTCCTTCATTTACTGAGTCACTAGTTTGTTTCAAAATCATATAAATATACATATTTAATTTGCACCTGTAGTGCTGGTTTTGGGACGCTCGCATAATTTAACTTACCTGAATTTTTGCATGTCAATACACACACACTCACACGCACATATTTACAAATGCCTGTGACTTCAGCCTAGGATGCTTCTTGTTCTACACCTATATGCTATAGTATCAAGGTCTTTAAATATATAAATATATATATATATATATATCAACTTGATTATGAAGGATAATTAATCTACGTATATAGGCATAATACTTCATAAGTTTGAAGGATCTTGCTTTAATTACATATGCTTCATTATTACATTTTTACAATGCCGTTCACCTTGATTTACTCTATTTACCATAAAAAATCTTAGCCAATTATTATCACATATCGCTTGGGAAGAGTCAGTGTCAATATAAAAGAATACTTGAGTTATGAAATTTTTTTTCCTTTTCTTTTTGAGTTTGATATATATATATATATATATATATTGGTTTTAGACAAGCAATCAAAGGAGAGATTATATTATTTTGCTTTAGATGATCAAATATTACATGATGGAGGGTCATGCATGCACCCTCTAGCTCTCATTACTAAATGCATAATGAACAGTTTTTGATGGAGTCATGCGCAGATATGCACAAGTGCACATGACTTGATATAAACTCAACTTTTTTTTTTTTAAAGGAAAAATAAAATGATATGGGAAGAAAAGGGTCAAACGGGACAATTTTACCATTCAACATTAAATCTAGGAGGATTCTGGATTTACTTTTGATAAAATATTTTATTTTTATTTTTAAAAATGATATAATATCATTATTATTGTTAATAAAAGTTAACTTTAATTATTAATTAATTTAAAAATTTTAAAAAATGAGAAAAAATTATAACAAAGACCTAAAATTACAGAAAATTATCAAAAAAATTATAGGAAAGGCTAAAAAATTTTCTTGATCATTTTCTATAATTTTGAGGAATTTTTTGTTGTTGTAATCTTGTGGTCAATTTATGGTCAAAATTAACATATATTAATGGTGTAAGCAAGATTGCATTGTTTTTAAATTGAAGGAAAATATTGCATAAAAAATAAATTTAGGGTTTTAGATAAAATCAACCAATAATTTAATGGTAAATTTACCATTTAACTCATCCAAAAATCATATAGGAATACTGTATCTGACCATGTGCTCCACGTGACCGTCCGATCAGGCATGAAATTAAAATGATTAGACCATTTTGAAGTACTTTTTGAAAAAAAAAATACTTTTAGTCCTTATATTTTTTTTTTTTTAGGTTTTGATATAGATTTCTATGCTTTATTTTTAGTGTTTTATGTTTCTATATTTTCTTCTGTCTACAATATTGATTTCTAGATTTTCAGAATGATGTTGATGTAGCGTAAATAGTGTTAATAATGCTCATATGTCAATTAATACCATTTGTCACAATAATGTTTATATGGAATTATTTAATAAGCAAAAATTAAAGAAAATCTATATCAGATGAAATAAAAAGGTAATAACTTAGACATTTTAAATGATCAATGAAACGCATAAATTTCATGTAGACTTTAAAAAAAATGCCTATTAAAAATTTCATATCAGTATCAATTTGATAAGTGAGTACAAAATCAATAGTATTAATTGATATGTTAATATTATTAATACTCTTTGTGCCATGTCAATGTTTCTTTAAAAATATAGAAACCAATATTGTAAATGGAGAAAAGTATAGGGGCACATAACATTGAAAAAAAATACAAGTACCTATACTAAAATTCAAGCAAAATATTAAATTTAAAAATAATATTTTCCTTTTTTTTTACTGTTATTTTAGTAATAATTTTTTTATTCAATTTAGAAATTAACCCAAGTCCTGTAATTGGCATACCTATTTTTACGCGCTCTCTCTCTCTCTCTCTCTCTCTCTGCTTTTTTTTTTTTTTACTCGTTAATATATTAACATTCACAATTCTTTCGTTTGTCCTTATCCTTCTCAGAAGACCATCATTTTCCCCACCATTCATGGGACATAATCAATTGTCGATCGATTTTACCAACTGGTTTTTACAAGTGAGCAAGCACAATAAATGAATATAATCAACCTCGGGATTTTCTTTTGCTGGCTTTAGAGGTTATGATCATGGTGTTCCAAGCAAAAGGCAAAACTGTGCAACTTCTGGCAATTGTTTAAAATCCTCCATAGCCAAAAGGATCTGCTTGCAAGGTAAGGAATATGAACGAGGATACAAAAACAGAGACTTTTTATTTCTATTTTCTAGTTTCACTCCTCTCTTCTTACACACTGCTTGCACCATAAAAACCAGAGATTATGAGCCTCTAACATACTTTTCTTTAATGTTTTTTTGTTGTAACATTTCAACTTTTCATTTTTTTCTTTAAATTATTAGTTTTTATACAAAATAAGAGATATTTAATATTTTGAAATCTCAAAATGGTAAAATTTTATATTTTTTAATTATTTAAATAAAAATATCACAAGCACACCTTTTTATTTTTAAACCCAAAACGGTAAAGTTTAGCATTTTTTATGATTTTTTAAAAATAAAAATGTGTAATTGTAATATTTTTATTTAAATAATTATAAAAAATATAACATTTCACTGAAGATTTTAAAATATTGAAATATCTTTTATTTTATATAAAAATTAATAATTTAAAAAAGAAATTAAAATATTAAAACATTATAAAAGATATTAAAAAAAGGTATATCAGAGGTGACTGACTCGGTCGGTATATTATTTGCTCATTTTTCAAATTTGATGCAACGTCAAAGACTCATGTCAGTGAATTATTGAAGCATAAATTGCTGGAATTTCGTGATTATTTCAACAGTAATTTTTTCTCCCGTCTAAAGTGCTCTGAGCAGCGCAGCGTGCAAACTTTAGAGGCCTTCTCTTATTGTGCTATAACAAAGATTAGCAACTTGTAATGATGTTTTCCACTGAAGAAATTGGCAGAGTCCTGACAAGATTATATAATTAAATATATATATATATATATATATCGTATACTATGATTTTAGAAAAAAATCATGAAGGAAAAGAAATGGCCCATTTCAATTATATAATAAAGTTCATCAAGCACAGTCCATAGGGACCACAATCATCACCAAAGCCTCAGTCCCATTTGAGTTTGTCTGACTATTTACATAGATTCTGTTTCGAGGTCTTCTATATATAAAAACACTTGTCAGTATTCCACAAACTACTCCACATATTCTTAATTTCTTCTTCCCTTTCACTTCCATGGCTCTCTTCTCAAAATTCTTCTCTTTTCTGTTCTTCACAGTACTTTTCCTGTCTCTGCAAATCCATGCCAGAGACAGTCAGTTCTTCAGCAAAGTAACACATGCCAACGACAATAATATTAATGGGATCAAAGAAACTGATCTCCCCAGCAAAGAAGAAGAACCAGTGAACAAGCAGCCAGGGCAAGAGCCTGTCTTCGTCCCTGAGGCTCATGACAGCTATGGCCTCTACGGCCACGAGTCCGCCGGCCAGTTCCCTCCGGCCACCACCACCACCACCACCATGACGCCGTACCCGCCGTACAAGACTGAGTCTGAGGAGTACATGATGAGCAAGTATCCAAACAATAAGTATTATTCCTACTACAACAGGGATGCTTATAACACAAACTACTAAAAGGATGCTTATGGCAAATTGGCAATGATCTGGACAATACAAGGCACACAGAAGGAGGATACGAGCCTGTAATGTCGAAGAATCCGATGACAAGGAAGAAGAACCAGATGTTCTATAACTGCAACAATGGCGGATATGATGATAGGTATCACCACAATAATGGTGAGAGGCAATGAATGAGTGATACTAGGTTTATGGAAGGTGGAAAATACTACTATGAGAATAATAACTCCATTGAAGCATATCAGAATCAGGGGTTTGAGGGTAACGCAGATGAGTTTCAGCCTTGAACTTAGTGTGTTTGGATTAAAAATAATTCACAATTGAAGTTGGAATCAACAGAGTTAGTAAATCGAGATTAAAAAAAAGGTCAGCAATTTTAATGTGATTTATATTTGAATAATATTTATTAAATTAAAATTTGTTTGGATGATTTAATTTAAAAATTAATTAAAATGTAATATGATAAAAATAGACATAAACTTTGTTATATGTAAATATATTTTGTAACTCATTTGGTATTTCTAAGAAAAATAATAAACTTTAAATTATATTTTTTAAGAAAGACAGAATTAAAAAATCTAAAATACATTGGTAAATAAAAAATCATAATTTTTAAGCAAAAAGGTAGAACGAAATGATAAAATAAATTTATAGATTAAAAATTAATTATTGATATTAATATTCTTTTGATATAAAATATAAAATTAATAAACATTGAATAATACTAAATTAAAAATAATACAATTTGATTTTTAGACTTTATACAACATACATAAACAATCTCACATGATTTGTATCATATATAGTTTTTTTATTCTTTTATAAAAATAAATTAAAAATTACAGTTAATTTTTCCTTCATTTTTTTTGAAGAAAAAATAAACAAGAATAAAACATCTGATCAGGGCTTCCCCCGTCTAAATCTGAAAAAGATTGCAAAAATAATGACGTTTGTATTCTAATAATTGGAAGAGAGGAGGAAAGAGAAAAATTTAACATTCATTTGCCTCGTATAATGTGCAATGCACTCACCTTCATCATAAGCTAAAGTTTTAAGCCAATACCTGAATGGCCTTTTGAAGTAAAAGCTGTTTTGAATTTTTTTCATTCAAACATATTTTTAAATCACTTAATGAATTTTTACTCTTCAAAACAAAGGTTAGAACCCCTGAAAAACTTATTCAGTGGTAATCCAAACATAGTAGATCAGTGATAAGTTACATTAGAGAGGATAGGGTTAATTTGTGATGATGATTTCTTCGTTAAAACCTACTGAATCATGATCTTGGATCTGCCCAGTTTCTGTGTCGTTCATGATATGGAAAAGTTATGAAGCATGAGAGCACATGTGTGTCGTTTCTGCTTACAGTGATAATGCCAAGTCAAGCTTTGCCTAGTTATTCGTTTTCTTTTGGTTTTAAACTTTCTTTGCTTGTTTGCGTTGCTGTTTTCAAATTAAATTAACCAACCTGTCATTATACTTATCTTTTTCTATAATTAGAATTGGAGAAAAATTTAATTAAATAACAAAATTAACTAGTTGCTCATCTTGGCTGGCCCCACAAAATGAGATTGCCATCATTTTTAGTTAGAGAATAGGATTATTTGTTAATCTTGTAATTAGTTGAGATATAGATAGGATTGAATTTGTCCTTTGTAAAGCACAAATATGCCATATTCTTTGTATACGTGTCTCTATCAATGAAAGGAGCCTGCCTCCACAACTTCGTTTTGAGCATTTCATTTTTCTTGTCTTTGATTTTATTATCATTTTTGAACGCTTTGGGAGGGAGAATTAGGCTATAAAAGTTGAGTGGTGACTTTCCTTTTCAAGGTTAATGTTGTTTTGCATCATGCTCCCTCTCGTCCTTATCATAAAATATTTTTAATTACTTCTTGGAACTAAGTAAGAACTAACAATATTTAACTCATTAAATATATTTTAATTAAAGTGAATTTTTTAACATTACCTCTATTAAAAATAAAAAAAAAATACACACATATACATAAATCATAAAATTAAATTTACAATTGGTGTAAAATTAGAAAATGATAATATAATAACCTTCCATGTGTCTCATATTATATTATGTTAAAGTGTATTTTTGATTCTCTAATTTTATAGACAGTTTAATTTGGACTCTTAACTTTAAGAGTATATTTTCAATCCTCTAATGATAACATTAATTATTTTTTGTATCAATCATTATTATTTTTTTAAAAAAACTTAACATATCAATATTTGAAAATGTTTTATCAATATTTAAAAATTTAATATAAAAACTTTTTATAATAAAATTAACAATATTAAAGTTAAAAAACTGAAAAGATACTTTTTAAAATTAAAAAATTAAAATAAAAAGTTATATAAAGTTAATAGATTAAATATATACTTTAATCATTATATTAGTAAGGATTGAAGAATTATAGTAGAAATTGTCCTGTAACAAGGACATAAGGTATAGTATTGGACAAACTGGGATTGTGTTAGTCAAAGATTATGAAGTAAAGCAAATTTAGTTGTCAAGATCATCATACAGCAATTCATCAAGTAATAATTAAAGAGAGATACATAGAAGCAGTTGTGAATACACATTTCGGGAAAAGAAAAGAGATTTCAATTTATCTAAATTTATAATTCCAAACTTGTAACGGATACAATTGAAGATACATACACACACACTCATATAGTGATGGATGCAATTTGATAAAAAGAATGAGATATCAACTAACCTAGATCCTATTTAACAGTGTTGCCTATACAAATGAAGAAGAAATAAACATATTGCAAAGTAAATTTAACAGTGTTTAAACTTAACAGTCCCTTAAGGAATACAACAATATTCCAGTTAAGATCTTAATTATTGTGAATAAAAAATAATTTTTTTAAAAGTAAATTATTAACAAAAATAATTTTCTATTGTAACAAGAGTATAATGATTCATTTATTAAAAAAATATGCTTAGTTGTAATAACTATTATAAATATTATATGATTATATGAGTGAATGTCCATAACTCCTAATACTTAGGATTCTTCATCTCTTATAACTTCCTAATAAATGACTTAAAAGGAGTTTCTCAAAGTTAATGCCTTATAACCTCTAAAGGTTACATACTATGCTATTATGTCATTCGTTATTCATTTGTAACATTAAGGTTAGGCTTTAATAATTGAATATCTATAAATAGAGGCCATGTACAAAATATTGGGCACTCAAATGAATAAAATATACTTCCTTGTTTTCTCTTTCAATTCTTACCTTGCTATTCTCTTTTTTCTTCTCTCTCTTTCTCCTTATTTTTCTAACACGTTATCAACATGAATTGGCTTTGAAAATAAGGTATATGTGATTTTAGTTAGATTAATGTGTTTTTTATAGTATAACTTTTATATTATTGTTCTATTAACATGCATGGTTATGTTGTTTACATATTTACTACATTATATTTTATTGTTTTATTTTCTTATCATTTTCTTTTCTTAGCTACAAAGTGATTCTATATTTTTCCATTTTATACATTTGAAAATAATCATATAATTAGTGATTTAATTAAATCAAGTCTCACTAATCATTCATTGTTTTATTTTTTATTATTTGTTGTTCTATATTTTTATGAAGATTGATATATTTATTTTTCTTTCTTTATGTTTATGTATTTGATGTCATTTTTTTTCATCCTCCACTAAATTAAAACTATATATACATATTATACATTTTGTGTTTGTTTATATGTGTGTGTGTGTATATTGATCAATTTATGTTGTTAATATAAATTTCTTTATTTGTTAATATCATATAAATTGTTTGCTTTATTGATCAATTTATTTTCTTTATTGCATTTCTTTATCTTCATTATTTATTTGTTTAGTAAGTTTTGTTGTTTATATTTGCATTTCTTTATATTGTGCCTTAGTATTAATTATATTCTATAATCTATCTATGGTTATTTATCATTTTAGTGTGTGTGTGTGTGATTTTTTACTATAATATTTATTTATTAATTTTGTCATAACTCTAATTGTTATTATTATTTTAGTTTGAATCATGGAAAATTTTACCAAACTTGAATTTACAACTCTTGATATGACAAGAAAGAATTATTTGTTATGAGTGTTAGATGTTGAAATTCACCTAGATGCCAAAAGTTTAGGAAATGCAATTTTACTTAGAAATAAAACATAGTTAAGATAAGGTTAAGGTAATAACATTTCTTGTTATCATCTTCATGAAGGGCTAAAAGTTGAATACTTAACAGTAAAAGATCCATTAAAATTCTAGATTAATTTGAAAGAAATGTATGATCACCAAAAAATGGTAATTTTACCTAAAACTTAATATGAATGGATGCATTTGATATTGCAAGATTCTAAAAATGTAAATGAATATAATATATCATTTTTTAAAATAAATTTTTAATTAAAATTATGTGGTGAGAAAATAAATGATGAGGGCTTAGTGGAGAAGACATTTTTAACTTTTCGCACTTCAAATGTGCTCTTGCAGCAATAATATTGTGAAAAAGGTTTTTAAAAAGTATTTTGAATTAATTCCATATCTTCTTGTGGTTGAATAAAATAATGACTTGCTAATGAAAAATCATCAAATCTGTCCTACTGGATCAGCTCCATTCTCTGAAATGAATATGACTATACATGGTAATTACTAATTACCATAGTTGCAATCACAGTTGTGGCCATAAATGTGGTCGTGATAAGGGACTAATTATTATCCTAATACCCATCAAAAGAATAAAAATAATGAAGGGCACGGTCCTTTAAAAGCTATTGAAAATTAATGTTATCGATGTTGTATGAAAGGGCATTGGTGATGCACAAAAAATGTTTCACCACAGCTATACGGGTCAAAGTGCAATATGTTAGTATGTCAATGTTGATTCCATAAAAAATCAAGCATAATAACAATTAGGTAATAAAGTTTCATTTTTGTCCACATTACACAAAATCAATTAGAATCGATTGATCAAGCAAAATTAAAATATGAAATGAATAAAATGCAATGAGATTCCTAAGCCAACAACTACAAATGTCTAAGGAAACTTAGAATCACTAATCCCTTACTAGCTTTATAGATATTACTTTTACCCAATTAATTATTTTTAATGCCAATTTTGTTAATCTAAAGTATTGGTAGCTATAAGGGCCTTTCGAATCTCAAATTGCCCTATCTCAAATTAGTTATGACATTTCTAACATAATTATCTAAGAGGCAACTTCAATTCTAACTCATTCTAATTTAATTATATGGAAAACTTAGGTATATTTGTATCATAATTGCAAATTAGATAATAATCTAATCCTATATTACTCAATTTAAGGGTCTAAATGAGATTCTCTTTTGTCAAGGAAAAACCCCTATGCCCAAATTC